TTCAGCCCATCCAAATTCAGATGCAACCACACATTACAGCCCACATTCAAGCGAAGCCCCTCCAGAGACCACCCCAGCAACAGCCTGCAATTCTGAACCCGGTACCAACTCAGCCTGTCCTAGCCCCCCAGCCTCAGTGTGCTGTTCTCCCCCAGCCAGCTGTGGTGGCCCACCCTGCTGTTGTGACGCAGCCCCAGCCTGCTATACTTCAGCCAGCGTCATTGGTTCCCCATACGCCAACAGCCCTCATTCCTCAGCCTCAGTCTCTCCCTCAGCCAGTGTCCCAACCTGAGGGAGCTGTGCTGCCCCTCCTGCATACCATGCAGGTGCTGCAGGTCAACCCAACTGGAGCAACAGTCCCAAGTGTGAAGGCACCACAGAACACTAACAACCCAAGTGTAGTCATCCTACAGCAGGCTAGTGCCTGCAAAGCCCAGTCAGTTGTAAGGAAAAAAACAACCAAAAGGACACAGTGTCAACATATTGTAATCATCCAGGCCCCCAATCATGCCACACCTGTCCCTCAGAATCCTCAGATTGGCATGGTACCTGCTGCAGTGCCTGCTGTGTCCACTCAAATACCCACAAGCAGCAGTTCAGTGTCTGTCACTTCCTTGCAGAGTGTTGGGGGAAAGCAGCTGGTGCACATTCTCCCACGCCCTGTTCAGCCTCCAGTAAACGGTTCCTGCCCGGTCACCCGAGCATCCCCTTCCCCACCAGTTCCTCCAGCCCCACAAACTATCACTGTGAATGGCCAAGTGTTTGCATTGCAGCCCATGAAGACCTCTGACAAAGCCAGTTCCCAAAGTGGACAGAATACACTCCAGCTGGTCCAGCCCACCACCACAGAGGAACCAACTACTAATGTGGCCCTCAACAGTTTAGGGGCCCTCAGCAGTCTGAACCAGAGCATCTCTCAGGGCCTTCGGCTTTCCATTTCTAGCCAGAACAGTGGTCATCCACCAGCTGCTCCATTGTCAGTAGTCCAGCAAAAGCAGCAACAGCAGCTTAGTGCTCCAGTACCAGTCCCTGGAACCACATTTGCTCTACCAGCCCAGCAGCTACAGGTCCCTTGCTTGAGTCCAGTTATATCGGGGCTGGTGATTAATGCTTCTAAGCCCTCAAGAAAGAAGCTTCGCATAGCTCTGAATACAAGGAGAGCAACAACTAAAAAAACTAAGCTTGCCATGAACAAAGAGCTCAGTGAGGCACAGGCTGGTGCTATAGTTTTGACCGCTCCCATGGTTGCCGCAGGAGAGAGTCAGTCATTATCTGAAGTTTTACAGTCTTCAGCCATAAAGATCACAGACCATCCCCTCACTTGTACCACAGCTGTCACAACTACAGATAGCAGTGAATCCTTAGGAGGTGTAACTTCTACACAAAACACACAGAAAATTATTTTGTGTAGTTCATTTAGTGAGCCACCTGTGTTTAGTCAAGCCCGTCTACAGAGCAAAAGCTTTGTCAATGCATCTAAGAGTGATAGTAGTCATACTAACACTGCTGATATGGCAACAGTAGTTACAACTGTCAGTGCTGCATTGGTGAAGCCCTTAGTTAGTACAGCTGTGGCAACTGAGATTAAACCAGCTGTAGTTTCTGGTGACAGCTCAACTGTAACCAAACTTTCAATTTCAGAGGTTAAACAAACAACCACCAGTACAGCAACTAGCGTGACACAAATTAAGTTAGCTGCTGCCACTGCTATTTCTAGACTTGGCACATCTCCAGTTAATTCTGCAAAGGCTCAGTACACATCAACCACTGTTTCTCCTGCATGTTTGACTCCAGTCTGCACCAGCAGTATCTCAGCAACTGCACCAGAATCTTTAAGTCAGGCTACTCAAACAACTTCAGTATTTCATCCCCAGGGATCAAATACCCAAGCTTCCCTGCCCTGTAATAAACCA